CATGGAGGAAGAGCGCTTGGTCGTGAAAGGGGTCGAGGAGGTAGAGCATGCAGAGGCAAACTCCAAGTTCTGAGACAAGGCTGAAGGGCAAAGGCTAACGAACTTCGTGAGGCCGGTATCAACAAGCTTCTCATCAAAGATAGTCGAAAGTGAAGGACTTCAGGTCATGCAAGAGTGCACGACTAAGGAACGAAGTAGGCAGTATGCGGTGCTATACCTTTGCTACTTAGTGGAGTAGGCGATCGGGTTGATGGAGAAGACAGTACAATCCCAGAGGCGACCAAAACTATTAGAGACTTACTCCAAGTTAGGGTGAAAACTTCTTGCATTCCAGAAGTTCGATGGCATTGAGAAGGTGAATCACAATAGCTAACTCAATGCAATGAGTGCAAATACTTTGAGTGCTTCAGAAGTATAAGCAAAGAGCAGGTGAAGGCCAGTAACCAGCTCGATGTATGGATTACAACCCTTGAGGTGGCGGGTGAAGTCAAGTAACCATTGTCTTCTCAACTTTTAAGAGAATGGACAAAACCGAGTACCCCAATTCTCTTATCTATCTAGCAGAAGAGCTTTGCAGAGGTTCAAAGACCCTTCGAAGATATTAGAAGACAATAGTTACCAAATCCTCACCAATGATGATCAGTGCTACTGAGAGTAGATTGTCTGCTTCATTTCTCAACAGAATGTCAATCGAAAGCGGAAGTGATACAAATCTACTTGGAAGTGACAACTAAGTGAAAGAAGAGTCGATAAGCAAATTTTATGGAGGAAAGACCCAAAATTTCAGAAGTTTGCAAAGCGATGCTCGTTAAAGCTCCAACAAGCATCCACCTAGTTCAAGTAACACGACGCATTTGAGAGACTAGCGCATAATAAGGATAGTCTTTTCCTTCATCTAGAGGATCCGTAGGAACCAACAAGGATCAACATAACTCAGCCAACCCCACACTAGAGTCAGAGTAATTGGCGAGTTAAAGCAGCATGGCAGATCAAAGGTTCGACTACTTAAAAACAATAGCGGAGAGTAGCTGGGAGCCAAGAGGCGCATTGCAACTGGAGCAAAAGATTGAAGACTCAACAAAGGCGAGGAGTTGTAGTGTCAGCAAAGGCTTCGACGAGGACGTTGAAGGAATAAGTGAGGGAGAATGTCACGGACAAAGTTCTAAATAAGATGTTTGATGTAATACTTATATATGTCAATGTCTTTATATTTGTTCATGCTTTGTACAACATGTAGAGGAATGGTTGAAGGCTTAACAACCCCATTTTAGATGGGTTTGGTGGCCTTCTTAGGCTTGTAAATAAATGTTATGTCATATGGACACTTGTGAGAGATACTCGGTCTACAGTGGATCATTTTAACCCTTTGTTGTACAACCGTTCAAAGCTTGTAAAGTATGCTTGTAATTTGTATTGTCTATGAAGTGTTTCCTGGAACATTTGCTTGTGCATCCCAAGTGAGGTGCTTTCTCTAACCCATTTTCTCTTTTGTAGGTCCTAAGGGACCATGGAAGGTTTTGGGGAGGCTGACCTTTGCAGACGGACACGCAAGGGTGCCGCACGACTTAGGCAAAACCAGCTAAATCCGTGACAATGCATTGGAATATTTGTTATAGTTTGCTTTGATGATATATTGGTGTACAACAAGAGCGAAGAGGAGCATTTGAATCATCTGAAAGAGATCCTTCTTATTTTGAGGCAGTAAAAGCTTTATGCTAATATAAAGAAGTGTGATTTCTTTACTTCTAGTATTGTGTTTTTGGGGTATGTTGTTTCAAAAGATGGAATCATGATGGATCAAAGTAAGGTAGAAGCTATTCTAAATTGGCCAACACCTACTTCATTGCATGACGTGAGGTGTTTCCATGGCTTAACTTCGTTTTAAAGAAGATTAATCAAGGGTTTCAGCTCTATTATCACTCCAATCACTGAATATCTGAAATATAAAATTTAAATGGACTAGTGAGGCTAATGATGCTTTTGAGCTTTAAAAAAGAAAGGTGACAGAAGCTCCTATCTTAGTTCTACCAAATTTTGACAATGTGTTTGAGGTTGAATGTGATGCTTCTAATATACGAATTGACACTGTTTTGAATCAAGACGGAAAGCCTATTACTTTTTTTAGCGAGAAGCTAAATGAAACAAGAAGGAAATATTCTACTTATGATAAAGAGTTCTATGTCATTTATCGAGTTTTATCTCATTGGAGTCAGTATCTTCTTGCCAAGCCATTTGTGCTATATTCTGATCATGAGGCATTAAAGTTCATTAATCACCATCACAAGCTAACTAAGAGGCATGCAGCTTGGATGGAGTTCTTACAATCTTATAATTTTACAATTAAACACAAATCTGGTGTTCAAAATGTAGTTGCTGACGCATTAAGCAGAAAGTATTCTTTATTATCAGCAATGGAAGTTAAAGTGGTTGGATTTGAGGCATTCAAATATCTTTATGAAAATAATGTAGATTCGGCTCAATATGGCATAATTACAAATCGGGTTCCTTTCAAAAATTTTCTATCTTTGATGGTTTTCTTTTTCGAGCTAATGCTTTGTGTGTTCCATCTTGTTCTTTGAGATAGGTAATTCTAGTTGAAGCTCATGGTGGTATTTTGGGAGGACATTTCAGTAGGGACAAGACTCTAGCTCTTGTTCAATCAAATTTCTATTGGCCTAAGATATTCAGAGATATATAAAGCAATACCGAGTGTGTCATTTGCCAAAACAAAGAAGTTAAAATTCTGGTTTATACACTCCATTGCCAGTTCCAAATGCTCAATGGGAGGATGTGAGTCTTGATTTCACTTTGGGATTGCCAAGAACTTAAAGGAACAAGGATTCTATCATGGTTGTTGTTGACATATTTTTAAAAATGTCTCACTTTGTTCCTTGCAATAAATCGAATGATGCATCTCATATTGCTGATTTGTATTTTAAGGAGATTGTTAAATTACATGGTATTCCAAGAACTATGGTATCTGATCGAGATTCAAAATTTATTAGTCATTTTTAGAGAACTCTTTGGAGGAAGCTGGGTACTTCTTTGAATTTCAGTAGCTCGCATCATCCACAAACCGATGGGCAAACTGAGGTAACGAATAGAAGCTTGAAAAATTTGCTTAGAAGCTATGTTGGTAAGAATATTAAGCAGTGGGATGTTATTCTTCCACAAATTGAGTTTGTCTATAATCGTTCTATACATCATAGTATTGATAAGAGTCCTTTTGAGGTAGTTTATGGTGCTAATCCTGCTGGTCCTTTGGACTTAAAACCTCATTCTACAATAAAGCAATTTAGTGGAGATACTGATGAAAGAGCTAAGCAGATAAAGAAACTGCATGAGAGTGTGAAAGCGACCATTGAGAAGCAAAATGAGAGGTACATGCAAGCTGCCAACAAACATAAAAAACATATGGAGTTTAATGCAAGTGATTTAGTTTGGATTCATCTAAGGAAGGAGAGGTTTCCACCGGGCAAATATGGAAAACTAAAACTAAAGGCTGATGGCCTATTCAAGGTGCTTAAAAGAATTGGCAAAAATGCTCATGAGATTGAGCTACATGAAGATTGAGCTACATTTAATGTGGCTGATTTAAGTTCTTTTTATAATCATGTTGATCAATCAAACAAGGACTTGTGGACAAGTCTTTTTTAATCGGGGGAGATTGATATGGGAGTGTCTAATTTACTACAATCTGATCATATAAACCTTGATTATGATATGATATTTTTTTCAGCCAACAATAATGCCTCATAATCTTCAACTCAGCTCACTCAAATATGATAGCTCATCAGCATATTCCCTGCACAAAGTTAAGGCTGTTTCAAGGTACTTTTTTTCATGACCAAGGAATGCTTTAAAGGAGTTGGTTAGCAGCTGTGAACACTTCATTTCAAAATTCTCTATACATGAAGGATTGTTTTATGCACTAGTATTTATTTTGGTGTTTAGGGCTTAGAAAAGACTTTAGAAACTGATGATATTTTAGTAGAAGCTCTCTTGGAGTGCTCCCATGAACTCTATATCTCTTGGATGCGTCCTTGAGTGGTAAATCTTTTATTTTCTAGTTTTGTATCATTGTTTAATTTTTGTTGGGTGGTGAACTTTCTGTATCCCAATGTGATTTTAAACTTGGTGGTGAGCTACTTTTCGTTTTTATCAAAGTTACTTCGTTAGTTCGCTCCTTTTCTATTCGACAAACTGTACTATCGGTTTTCTTTCGAATTCTATTCTACTACACCGCCCCCCATTCTGCATCACACCGGTATCAACCCAAAATCACAACCAAGCTGCCATTGCCTATGTAAAGGAATGGACAATTAAGCTGTTTATAGATCAGGAAACATGCTCAAGATGCATTAAGAATTATATGATGCCCATAGTGGTTTTCTTGATTGACGAGTTTCTTTTGCAACTTCACCGACATGCTAGTCCCTCTATTCATCACCTCTTACTGGTTTGGTGGTGAGGTTAAGTTCGTTATCGTCGACGCAAAATCCTGGTGGCTGAACAAGTTCAACTTGATTTTGAAGCAAGCAGGGACTTATCTTTAAAGGTATACTTTAAGAGGGAGTATTAAGAAGTTAAATTATCTTTTGTAAGATCACAAATTAATATTTTATTTTTTTTAAAATAATATTAAATAGAGTTTTAAGGATTTTTTTTAATTTAAAATATATTTTAGAAGATTTCAAATAAAATTAAATAGAGTTGTAGAGATTAAGGATTCTTGTATTTTACATCTATAAATATGTGGCATCGATAGATTAATTCAAATCTAAGTATTCAAGTCAAGTCTTAAATTTTTTTTTTTGGAGAGATTTAATTTTTTTTTTTACCTCTGTTTCTTATTTTATTTGATTTAATCTTAGATTAATAATATTTTATTACTATAATTTGAAAAAGGATTGCACTTCATGTGATTCTCTCTTTCTGTACCGACCCATATCACGGACATTGATTGACTCTGTTCTAAATAAAAAGTCAGTCATTGACCACCGTGGCTGAACCCGTCAAGCTTTGCTGGGCTACGCCACGATCATGTCCTTGTTTGATCTGAGGCGTATACTCGCTACCACCAATAAAAGCCAGCCCTCGGCTGCCGGTAACCAAGCACACCCCTCCACAAGAGCCCACCCGACGTCAATGTTTCATTCCTCCTCCACCATCACCACCACCTCCTCCTCTTCTTTCCGTGATGCTACACTTTTCCCTCCGGCCAGCTGCACCACCGCCACGCATGCTGTTGATGGCGCCCCACCCCGTGGCTTCATCGATGTCAATGCCTCCGGCTTCCTTCCCTCCTCTGCTTCTTCTTCGTCCTCCCTCCGTCCTCGGTCTCTCCCCAGGAGCAGCAGCAGCCACTTGCTCCCCGTCTACCACCCTACCACCCATCCCTTCAAGCCGATGCCCTTTTCTTTCCCTCTCCAGCACCAACCCCGTCACCAGAATCCTCCGCCAGAACTCGCCTCGCCGTCGAGCCCGCCCTCCTCCTCCTCCTGCGACTTTCCTCACTTCAAAGCCTGTCCCGTGAGGCGCGTCTTCAGCACCGGCGACCTCCAGGTGCGCGAAGCCTCTGCCTTTCTCATACGTCATTCCAAGAATCGCATTTTGGATGAGCGTCTCTCGATCAATATCCCACCTTTGCGTCTCTTCGTGAATCTTTCCAAACCAGAGGTTGACTGGAATGGTGGTGTCTGGGGAGAATCATAATCAGGAAGGAGGCGAGATTGCTGCGAAAGCGGCGCGGTACAAACCAGAGGAGAGGAAGGAGCGGATCGTAAGATATCGGAGCAGACGCAAGCATAGGAATTTCCACAAGAAGATCACTGTGCATACTGTTCCATTTCATCCTTCCCTTTCGTCTACGACACTCGACATTTCTTGTTTACAATTCGTGAGAAAAACGATACCTCTAACACTGTTGTTTGGCTTGACAGTACGCGTGCAGGAAGACATTAGCCGACAGCCGGCCACGGGTGAGGGGCAGGTTCGCGAGAAACGGCGAGACAGACGGGAGGGTGGAGGTGGAAACGGATGCGGCCGAGAACAGCTGCGAACAGGCGGACGGCGGCAGAGAAGTGGGCGACGGGAGTGATCGGTCTAGGGCGGTGCCGACAGCCGGCGAAGAGTACGACGACGAGGACATCTGGGCCGCTATCTCTGACGTCCTTTCCATGAATCTTCTCTCCTAAAATAATGAAAAGAATAAGATAATAGAGAGAGAACAAATGATATGGTGGGACTGGCAACTGTACGTAGTTGCAGTAGTAGTAGCAGCAGCATGTTTACTTTCCTTTTTCTTCTTCCCAGTTACTTCCTTAATTTAGTGGACGTTAATTTCAAATCAAAAGAAAAAGCAAAATGGTGGTGGAAAAAGATGCTCCATGTGCTAGTAACAAAAAAAAAAGACAAAAAATAGAGCCTCACCTTTTTCGAAAGCAGATTACTATCGGGCTCGTGTTACAACGCTTTGGAAAGGAGCTTGCTTTAATGCAATGCACGGCAAAGTCCGGCGAGTGCCCCGTGAGATCTATCGCTGTCCGACGACAAAGTTGCCGTAACGGCTTTGAGGTTTGTAGAAGTCGGATTAATTTGTTTCGAGGGAAGAAGAGGTTGCCTGTCATCTTCAGGGGATTAATGAGCAGATGAATGTAGTCCGGTGCATTGACCACAGGGCCGCCAAACTTCGCCAACCACTATTAACTAGCTGCGCAGGAGATGCAGACAAAAGGGTTATTCATGTAACATTGTTGCCTTATCATGAATAATTCATTATATATATATATATATATATATATATATATATATATATATATTACAAAATCGATTTGACCTTACTCATTTCTTGAAGATTATCATATCTTAAAGTCCCGAGCAGTATCAAATTATGTATGACACTTTCATGAACTAATGAGTCAAAATTCTTATGAATTCAATTTGATAAGTAGTTAGATGTTGGCTCCCTTACTAGGTAAGATAGTGGTGATAGTCTCCTCCTCCCTTTTAATTTGATTGTAAGCTAAAGCGATCGATTCACCCCTTGATCCTAAAGATGCTTCTTCCTCCCATTAGAGTGTTCCCTATGGTCCCCTGTTTGCTTCTAAGAGTCGTTCCTTTAATGATCGTGCTACTGCTCGTGAGATATCCTAGACTCAACTACTTGCTGATTCCTCCTATTGGGTTCCTTGCTTTCTTTCTCTATTTATAATCGAATTTGTGAATTGTCTATAGATTTTATATGAGTCATATATGAATTTTATAAAGTTTGATCAAGCATGTCTTCAGAAATGACAGTGTCTATAAATCAGTAGGTCATTTTCTCTGACGTCCTCCACTAGATTTTCTCAAATCTATAGTTTCATGACTATGAAACTGTTTATCTCCTACTAAATTATTGACATGGCTAAAATCATTTTTTCTTTTTCCATTTTCCTTTGGAGGTTAAGGTTGTTCATGTTTTTACTGACGGTCCATGAACTATCAATGGCGAGGTGTTACACTTGGCGTGCAAACTTACAATCGGTTTATCGAGAAAGTCTTATTAGCTTTGGTTTGAGTTTATGCTGATTTATATTTTGAATACTAGAATTATGATTGTGTTTTTTTGTAATAACCGCTCTTTTGGGCTATTCTCTTCAAATAAAAAAAAGAAAAGTTCTTTCTCATTTGAACGAGGATAATTTATTAAGGTTTATATTGAGATTGATTTATTGAAACTCCTAAATAAGATATTCGGTTGGATCGTTCTAAAGAGAAAGTGTTTTAGGTTGTCTCTTATGAGAATTTTTTTAGATATTTGGTTGGATCGTCTAAAATAAAAATTTTTTAGGTATAAGATGGAGGTTGCCTTTTGGCTTCAATTTCTTCTTAGATTTCTCCTCTTTATGATTCTCAAGCCGCGTTAGAGTAATCCCAATCCAAGCTGGATGGCTTTGTAGCCCTACTTACGAAACATTCTTCTACCAGGGAGGATCTATATATTGGATTGGCTATTAATTGATGCTAGCTATTCTCGATTAGAGACTCAGACGGTGTAGGTTTTCGTTACTGTTCAATCACATGACCAATATGTGGGAGTTGCAGCCTTGGCTCCTGTTTTGTTAAAGGTGGCTGATGTTATGACCAATATGTGGCTGATGTGATATTATGGGCAATCATGATAATGGATCTTTACGGTGATGTGTTGAAAAATTTGAGGTCGACATCACATGTGTAACCGAAGAATAAAAAATAAAAATCTCATATTTTTATAGAAAATAATTTTTTATCATCGTGCGAAGATTAGTATACAAAAACACGTAAAATCGAAAAATCACGCATTTTAAGGGATGTGTGTTAGCTAGGAAGATCATATATCCTTGAAAATATGTAGATCTATGGGAGAGGATGAAGGAGGTCAATTGTCCTCCTCTCTAGCGATGATCCATATTATAGAGGCTATGAAGATGCTTCTCAAATCGCTGCACAATCCTCTTTTCCATGCGCACCATGGGATCAAGAAAGGGCCAGCCATTCTTGCTATTCACATGCTCACAAACATGAGCTACTAGCTAAGGAGGAGAGGGGGGGAGGAGAATAGGAGGTGACAGCCAAAAAGGGTCTAGTCTATGACCATTTGATTTTCCTCTATTTATGGAGGTCTCTTGTCAACTTAACTATAATAGATCCTGCTATATTAGGTACTAGATCTCCCTCCAACTACTTAGTCTCTTAGATTAGTAGATTTCTACCCAATAACCTCTAATTGGCTCTTATTGTATCTCATTCATAGGATCCAATAATTCATGGGCCTATTAGATATCCAATAAGATAGAGAATCCAACGGATATCTCATATCCGAACTACTACTCGCTACAACACCTACCATAAGTGTATGACTCCGTAGGCCAAATATTAAGTTGACCATGAGTCATACATATCATAACTCTTTTTAGCTCAATAAATTATTATCTCCATAATTGATACGTAAAAATCCATGAAACCGAAAACTACGCGTATAAGAAAGATGTGTTATCTAGGGAGATCATATATCCTTGAAAACCTATAGATCTATGAGAGAGGATGAAGGAGGTTAATTGTCCTCCTCTCTAGTGGTGATCCACACGGTAGGGGGTATGACGCCCCCAAATAGGAAATAGGAGCTGTAGGTTAAGGAGGAGAGGGAGAGAGGAGAATAGGAGGTGGCAGCCAAAAAGAACCCAGCCCATGACCCTTTAGTTCCCTCCTATTTATAGAGGTCCCTTATTAACTTACCATAATGGATCCTTCCATATTAGGTACTGAATCTCCATCCAACTATCCAAGCCTCTTAGATTAGTAGGTCTCTACCTAATAATGTATTATTGGTTCTTATTCGATCTAATCCATAAGATTCAATAATTCAGGGGCTTATTGGATATCTAATAAGATAGTGGCTCCAACGGATATCCCATATCCGAACATTTACACGTCGTAATACCTACCATATATGCGTGACTCTCTAGGCCCAATATTGAGCTGGTAGTGAGTTATACCTGTCAGAACTTCTTTTGGCTAAGTGAATTATTATCTCTATAATAATTCACTTGACTCATCGACTACGGACATACTAGGCCACTACGTCGTAGTCCCCAGACGATATAAGGGAATATAATCTATTAGACCTGTCTGTCTTCAGTTATTATGTACATATAATCTCTTATTTATTTAATACCCCAAAGACTGTATACCGGGCATGGTACTATCAGGCCTATACAGTTTCTACTTGAGTCTCGCTCTAATCGAATTATCCCGGAGAACTTTTTCTCTCTCAATCCGAATGACCCTAGCCAAGGATATGTCTAAGCAAGAACACATGGGATATTCGTCTCATGACAATGAGAGCAGATGATCCTCTATTGACACTCAATAGTCATTGTAAGGTTGGCCCTGCAAGCCAATAACGTGAGTGATGACATGTGTGACATGACACACACTTTTTTTGCTTATTATATATTAGCATTTTATCACTTTATATTGCTTGTTGTATGAATATTGTTAGGATCGAGTCGGTACTAAGAGGGAGGGTGAATTAGTATAGCGGATAAATCATATCGGTTCAAAAATCTCATTTGATAAAAAACATTTCGACAAAGCCCGTATAGGAAATATTTAACTTTGAAAGCATACAAAAGCATGTAATGAGAAAGTAAAGTAAGGCAGTTTGCAATAAAGGTAAATTGCATAAATAGAAATGCAAACTGAATTTTATAGTGGTTCGGTCATCGTGACCTATATCCACTCCCGATTCCTCTTCCATCGAGGCCATCGACATCTACTAACGATCTTCTTTCAATGGGCGAAGATCAACTACCCTTTTATACCCCTCTTCTCCTTTTTATAGGTTTAGGAGATAACCTTTTACAAGCACTCACTCCTCCCTAAACATAATTCTAGACTTTAGAACTAGAGGAGGGAATTTCTCAAATGATTGCTATAGAGTTTTTTCACTTTTAAGTTCTTTGTGCTTGTGTGTCTTAAGCAGGGATGAGAGGGGTATTTTGTTAGGACTCTAGGTAGGAGAGTCCTAATTGAGAGGGACATTCTGTTAGGACTCTAGCTAGGAGAGTCCTAATTGAGAGGGACACTCTGTTAGGACTAACTAGGAGAGTCCTAATTGAAAGGGACATTCTGTTAGGAGATTTTCTCTTAGAGAAGAATTAGGAGTTGTAAGGGAATATGAGTCTTGAGTATGAGTCATATTAGGAGTTGGTTAGAAGTAAGAGTCTTAAGTAGGAGTCCTATTAGGAGTTAGGGTTTAGAAGCCCTATAAATAGCCATGTATTCCTTCTCTTTTCTTAAGCAATAGATGAAACTTTTCTGCAGCCTTTGAGCAGCACTTGGAGGGAGGAACCCCTATAGAGTTCTAAGGAGGCCGATCCCCTAAAGAGATCAACCCCAAGTTTAGAATCTGCAAGGGTTCTATCACCTGGTATCAGAGCAGCGTTCTTGGCATCTCGCTGCCCTTCCATTGCCATCCATCAACCCTCCACAACCATCCAAAGCAATTCCCACAATTGCTTAAAAGATCGTCGCTG